CCATATTCTGAAAGGAAGGCCATCCTTGTCGATTGGGAGTTATCCTGTGAAGATATAGTGGGTCCAGCAAGAGATCACTGGCGATCGGTGAGCCTTATTATCTTGGTATGTACGTTGCTAATATCATCGCAGGGAACCTGGGCATTCATGTCCATCAACACCCTCCAGGGAGGACGCCCTCATCATATATGTGATGACATAGAATCCCTGATCTACGTAGTTTTCTACTGCGCCATTCACTTCCTTCCATGGATCAAGTCCTACGACAACAACCACCATGTTGACCTTATCGATGGGTTCTTCAATGATTATTCTAAGACAGGAATTTTCGCTGCTTCTGGAAAAACAGCCAATCTGTATAACTCGCGGTTCTTCAACTCTGTCACATTTGACAAGGTCTCAGCCTGGCTCAGCGAAACTCTTCCACACATGATGCGTTATCAGGCCGCAGAACCAGCTGAAAACGTCATCAAAGCTTACACCCCCCTTTTTGAACGCGATAATTCATATTGGATGACCCTTCACAAAATGAACAAAGAGCGCCACAAACCCCCTTATCAAGGCCCGGACCTCGAACTGCATTGTGGAACAACTTCGCTTTCTGCACTCCAGAAAAGCTCGGGAATATCAGCTCCCTTAAATGTGAAGAAGAGGGATGTTTCGTCTGTAGACGATCCGGATGAGGGGTCCGCTGGCAAACGGCGAAGGAATGCCGAGCTACCCGTTGCCGGAGCCTCAGAACTTAGGAGAAGTTCGAGGATCAAGCATTTACCTCCAAAGTAATTGCAGTGTCCAGACAAGATATCGGCACAACTTTCGGATTCAAACTTTCAATGCCCGAGATACCCTTGATGACTTTCGACAAAGGTTGTCATTCGATATAACCGTGGATTGGCAGATGTGTATGTGTGCATGTATTGACCTAAATAAACAAGTAAATACTCCAAGAAATACAATGAATGCTTGACTGGAAAGGAATCGAAGTGATTCAAAGCAAATTCAAAGTGGTCTACAAGTACATAGTGACGGCTCGAGGCAACCTCGAGTGCCGGAAAAGCCATCGAGCTGGCGCCGTGCCTGCTGGAGCTCGCGCATGCGGACTTCGACGCGATGTCGCAGGCCGCTGCCGCCAGACTCGCCTCGGCCCTTTCTGTGCTGGCGCTTGATTGTGGCGAGGCAGTCCTGCGACTTGATCTTCACGCCATCCGCATGCGCCCGTTGCACATGTCGCCCCCTCCCCAGATTCAAGTTCACTACTTCCAATGTCCATAGCTCCTCGTTCGTCTCCTCCTTAATCTGGTAGCGTATGTACATCGGCAGGATCTCATTCGCGAATCATCCAGCAAAGGACCACTTTTTGAATAAAGGGTATCTCATGCATCAAAAGTTTGAATACAAAAATTGTTCCGACATTTTGTCTGAACACTGGAATTACTTTGGAGGTACTTACCTCGGATTCTTGACTTTTCAGTTTTGGTCATCTGCTTTTGACAGTTCTCCGGCGTTTGCTCGGGGACTCCGCATCCGCATCGTCAACAGACAACACATCCCTCTTCATCAAATTTCCTACAGTCGATGAGTGCTCCGATGAGAATACATCACTTGGTGGAGCTGAAATCCCTGTTGCTATCTGCTCGCGCGCAGAAAGCGAAAGTTGTTCCACGTTGCAGTTCGACGTCCGGGCCTTTGTAAGGGAGTTTGTAGGGCTCTCTGTTCTTTGCGTGAAGGCTCATCCAATATGAATTATCGCGTTCAAAAAGGGGGGTGTAAACTTTGATGACCTTATCAGCTGGTTCTGCGGCCTGTTTCAGACGAAGATAATGTTTCGCGTGTGGAAGAGTTTCCCCAGCCAGGCTGAGACCTTGTCAAATGGGACAGAGTCGAACCACAACGAGGCATACAGATTGGCTGTTTTTCCAGAAGCAGTTGTTTTCTTGACAGAGAATAATCATTGAAGAATTTATTGATAAGGTCGCGATGATGGCCGATGTTGTAGGACCCAGTCCACGGAAGGAAGTGAATGGCACAGTAGAAAACTACATAGATCAGTGATTCTCCGCCCGCATCATATCTGCGATGACATGATGGACAGGAATACCCTGCGATGATATTAGCAACGTACATGCAAAGATAAAGAAGATAATAAGCCTCACCAATAGCCAGTGATCTCTTGTGTATCTTCACAGGATAGCTCCCAATCGATAAGGATGGCTCGCCTCTCAGAGTATATGTGATCTGCATCGGTGAACAGAATGATGTTCGAAGCACTAACATCTTGATGTAAACGATGGCAAATGCTATGAGCATCACGTAAAGCTGGCGTATATTGATAAGCACAGACTATAGGGCTGGTGAGAGAGAAAAACGTTACCTTGAAATGCGTCACGAGCGCCTCTGAGTAGCTCTAGACTTCCTGTCATTTGCTCGAGTGTATATCCTACTTCTTTGGTAACTTGCCGATAATGAACGCGGTACGTTAATTTTGTCAAATTTAGCCTCTCCTCGCTTCGCCAATGCTTGTTCCAGTCAGTGACGCCCTTGTAGCAAGCTGTCTCTGTGCGATAAGCTAGTAGATAGAAGTTAGCAAAGCAATTCAGAGTGTACGAGCGCATATGTCCATCTAGTGAACGTGTCTATATTCACCTCAAGTCGATAGAGGCCGACGACTTCAAGCTAACACGATACCCTCCTCGACGAAATTGGATTACGTGGCTTACCTTTACTTCTTGATTCCCTCATTCCCTCCTCATCTCGTCCCAAATGTTCTCTCCGCATTCGCCTTGCCCCTCGCTATATGGTCCTTACAATTACCTCCGGTAAGTGTTTCGTACATAACTTATATGACGACCGACGGCTTACTTGAAGTTCAACTAGCGTCGCCCAACGCCAGTTCTGACCGCTCTCACCCACTCACATGTAATTCCTCGCATCGTTGTTAACGTTGACCGACTCCATTTTACGGCGCACCAAACCCCGGAGCTGCTATACCTCAAGGTAAGTCATAGCTTCCGATTCGATTATAAGAACTCACTCATAGTTGCCTCTTTCTTCAGATCGAATGTGAATTGCCCCGCCCGTAGCGGGCGCCAGCCCGCCGTATACGAATGCCCCCCAAGCATCAAGTCACCTTGAACAGACACGATGGCCTTTACCATCCACAACGTCGTACAACGCCGGCGACAAGACCGCCCTCGTCGACGAATTCGGGTTACGTGGAAGCACGGGCGACCTTGGTGCATGATTCAGTACATGTCGAGGAAGTCGTGGTGAAGCGAGTCATTGAGCGATACACAGGATGTCATCGAAGGCGGAGGGGGGTACGATGTTGCGGAATTCGTGCAGGGATGGGTCGACTCTGGCTTGTGCGCCCCTCCTCATCACCCGCCGGCCTTCACTCGAGTCGGACTCAACATGCAGCCGCAGACCCCAACGACTGGGTCATGATCCACCCCCAACAACGCCAGTGGCCAGCTTCCCTAAGCCAGGAAACACGACGCTGGACAGCCACTGAACTAGCGGCGCGGCAGCGTTATCCACCCGAGCCCCCTTCCTCCTCCTTCTGATGATTACTGCGGCGGCAGACCACGTCTAGCGTGTCCAAACCCCGCTCACTTCCTACTCACTTTCTCCCTGCCCAACGGACTCGCCTCGTCCCAGCACCAGCACCCGATGACCCTGCCCGAGCCAGCCTCGGGAAGCGATAAGCGATCTCCCCAACGTACATCCCACTTTTCTCGCCGTAGGCGAACGCGAAGGTGCCGACCACTCAGAGGGGGCGAGGCAGTGATGTCGCGGTGGTCCTCAACGTATTGGTTGGCAGTGACGTGGAGGCGGTTGCCGAGGTGAAGGAGGTGGCGCTAGCTGCAGTCGTAGTGTAGTGTAGAGTGCGCGAATGGTGCGAGTAGGAAGTGGGTGGTGAAATAAGGGTGTGCATTTGCAAGAAGGGTCCATGAGTCGGTGGGAGGTCGTATGCTGCAGCCGAGTGGATGGGGAGAGAGAGGTCTTGACGGAGGGCTTCCCATACCACCACCCGCCTCCCTTGCAGATGCTGAATGCGCCCGGCTGGAGCTGCATCAGCAACGGCAGCGTCGTCGATCCCTCCTCCAGATAGCGACGGCGACAAGCACCACGTCTACGGCACAAGGGGCGGACTCAGTCTCCCGCTTACAGGTGTCGTCTTGTTCGTAGTCGTTGTATTCGTGGGTGTTCGATCCGTAGGCGTTGGCGTGAGTGTAGTCGCTGTAGTGTAGTAATGGTCGTGTATGCAAACGGCGGGAGTAGGGAGTACTGCTGGATGTGTGTAAGTATCGCTCCCCTCCCGCTCTGACCTCCGTCACTGCGCGTCTCGCTAACCGCCCTCGCTCTCACCCCTGCCCGTACCCGTCGACACGACGTCTCCATCCCCGCTGATCACCAGGAAACATCCTGGGTGGCAGCGGCGGCGGCAGGCGGCAGCGTCATCAAACCAAATGACCGCATCCGCATCCCTCGTCCTGAAGGTAAGGCCTACTCCAACTCACTATGGTTTGTTGCCTACAAGTGACATTCAAAGGCCAGTGCAATGTAGCACTGTTGTAGGACTAGTAGACTGTATATACAAGAGTCCACGCTCAACCAATATCATTTTATTGTCGTATTCATCGGATATTAGCGAGAAAACAGACACTGTGAAAAAGACACTTTTGGGGACATGCACGCAACACAAAGACACCAAAGACGCCTTGCAAAGACAAATGCAAACTCCTAAAAGACAAAAATCATCTCTGAAAGATGGCCGCTGATACATGCAGAAATCCCTGTCATCCAACTTGCACTTCGTTCATGCATTCCTTGCCAGGCCTCATCTGCCTTCTTGGCCTCATTAAGCACTGATGCCATGCCGGGCCATCTCTACAATGTGTTGAAGTAGGGCTTGGCTCGCTTGGTTCCGAGTTCCGCGGGCGCTTCTTGAAATTGATCCGCCGCAGGCAAAAGATGTTTGCGAACGGTAAAAACATAGTAGCCCACCGCGAGGGTCGAACTCGCAGCCTTCAGATTCCAAGTGACTCTGCCTGATAAGAGTCTGACGCTCTATCCAATTGAGCTAGGCAGGCGGCGGCATCCTTGAGAGACATGTATCTTCCTTTCCAAAGACGAACCAGAGGCATAGTTTCGACACTGGGGCTTGCGCTGGGCAACATTGAGTGACTCCGAGTCATTGAAGAGTATGGGGCTTGGGTAGACTTGGGTAGACTTGGGTAAACTTGGGTTGAGTAACATTTTTCAAGGCGCTCTTTATTGATGCCTAATCGGAAGGCTTTGAATGGGCTTCGAAAGCGAGCGGGCACGTACCAAAAAAAAACTTTTCACGAACCTCTCGCATATCCACCGTGCCCATCGTCAACTTGGCCAGTGAAGGTGGCTCCTCGACAACGTCTTCGGAGGATTGGAAAATGTGAGAGCCCATACCCCCTTATAGACATTCGCCCACGCTCGATAAGTAATCTTCCGGCGCCTAAGTACCATCTTTTACACACCTTTCCACCATCCTCCCTCCACCAAACCACCACCATGAAACTCTCAAACGCCCTCAGCATCCTCCTCGACATCCGCATCGCCCTCTCCACCGCCCTCCTCCCCGCGCTCAAAGCCGTCCTGCGCGATCCGACGCTGTTGCTGCGCCCAGCCCAAGTATCGCGGATCTTCATGGCGCACGTGTGGACTGCGTTCGCCGACGGCGTCGATGCGAACCAGAGGGTGTCGAAAGAGGGGTTGATCACGCCGAATGCGCGTGGGGTGGTATTGGATGTCGGCGCGGGTACGTACCTCTACTCTGTGTGGAAAGTCGATATGATGTGTGGCTGATGAATGAATGAATGAATGAATGTGGTAGGACACGGACATACGGTGATGTACCTCGACCGCAGGCGCGTAACGCGCTACGTCGCGCTCGAGCCCAACACGCTCATGCACGCACACATCCGCGCAAAAGCCCACGCGGCAGGGTTCCACGAATCAGACGGCACACTCCTCATCCTCTCCTGCGGCGCCGAACACACCTCCTCCATCCTCTCTTCCCTCTCTTCTCCCTCCTCACTCTCCTCCCTCTCCCCTAGCACCACCCACCAACAACCCCCCATCGACACCATCATCTCCATCCTCGCCCTCTGCACCATCCCCTCCCCACAACACACCCTCCAAACCATGACGCGCGACCTCCTCAAGCCCGGTGGCCAGCTCCTCTACTTTGAGCACGTCCTCAGCCCGCGCCCCGACGTGGTGTGGTGGCAGCGCTTCTGGGCGCCCGTGTGGGTGAGGGCGTTTGATGGGTGTAGAATCGATCGGGCGACGGATGTGTGGGTGAGGGAGATGGGTGTGGACGGGGAGGGTGGGGAAGAAGGGTGTTGGAGGGAGGGGGAGGCGTGGGGGAGGGACGGGCAGGAGGAGGAGACATTGTTCTGGCATAGTATTGGGAGGTATGTGAAGCGGTAGTACGTGGGGGGATTGGGCCGTGTAAGCGCTTATTTTGGGCGCCATTGAGTCGTGCGTGCGAGTGGACGGGGTGATGACTACCCTGCGGATGGAGTGTTGGAATGACATTCACTCCGTAGACGCACTTGGTGTTGAGGATGGAAGACGTGGTCTGATGCTCCTATAACAGGGTCTCTGCTCATAGGTCAGAATATGCGGTGCGGTCATCTCCTGGCTGTATGAATATATGTCATGAAACACGAGAATGTCGTCGCCTTTTGCAAGCTTTTGCACACTTGGATGCTTTATGGGGCCAATGAGTCCAAAAGTCAAAACATAAATCATTTTCTGCGATCGAAATACCGCCAACCTATCCCTCTTGCATCCTTGTCGTCGTCGATCCCGCCGCCTCCCGCCTTTGCTGCTGCGTACTGCTTAGTTTTATTTCCCGCCCAGCCATCCCCAAAAGCTCCAGAAACTTCAATTTCACGCCTTTCCTTTCCCACTTCGTCCTTCCGTTTTACTTTTCTCCAAAAAAATAAAACCCTTCCTACGTAGTTTCTCCCTTGCCATGCCTTCCTAGCCTACGTAGCTTAACCAAAACATACAATTGCCAGAATACATTGCTCAGTTCAGAGTACTATCACCTAACACCCGTGTTGTAAAGGGCAGCGCGTGCGAACCCACCCGCCCATAAGCGGCCACGCTGACCCAACCCTACTTCCAGCTCTTTACTTCACCCTTCCTTCCTCCCAGCCGAAGCTGGACTTGCTTTTCCTGAACCCCAACTGGGACATCTCTTACGTAATGATGTCTCAAGGCAACGCCCAGGCTCAGCCCAGACTAACTCACCACCTCGAGTTCTCTTAAATCTGCTTATCCTTCCCTGACACTCTCGCTATGTATGCGGATCGTTTCTCCTAAGCTTCTCTTGAACCCTGGGCATGGGCTGTGCACGCCAAACGTCATCTCCGACTATATGAACGGGCTCGTAGGACCGTTCTGAAGCTACACGCAGCTAAAATAAACATTGTGCTGCGCATCTGTCTTAGGAGGTCGTCTGGATAGGTAGTTATCATTCAACAGCGGGGAAGTAGAATGCACCCAGCACTGCCTAGGGTCTAGATGCTCACAAGGAAAGCCGTTTGGGGAGTAGCAACGGGAGAAGACGTAGCGTCTTCTGTTCTGCCCAGATACCCTTCTCCAAATATTCACACACCGCTTCTTCCGGTTCTTAAGCTCAGTGCTTCGTCGTTTCTTTGCCTCCTTAACGTCTCCAACTCGCCTTTCGTGAAACTACTGCGGTCCAATGCCATCCCACCAATACTCGCTCATCGCCTCGCAGCCTCAAGCCCGTACCGACCTCGCCGCCTCCGACCTTGTCTCCCTCACGGAGAAAGCAGCACACCCAATACACGCCCCCCATGCGCATACGCACGAAGCAGACGAAAACGCCTGCAACCAATGCGACGCACCTCCCTCGGAGCATCGAGGATGCCACAACGCCACCTTGCGCCGTCTATTCCTGCCCGCCATAATCGCTTTATTGCTCCTGGGTGGGCTTCTCGCGTATGGATGCGCATCGGGGCATGGCGCGCCTGCATGGATGGACGGGTTGGTAAGGCGCGCGGTGGGCGATGGCACGTCGTCGTCGGGTACTGGGGGGCCTTTTGTGAATCGTAAACGTCAGTCTGGTTTGGTTCTCATCTCTGTGTTTGATATCAACTGTTTTCCGTTCAGTCTACCTAGTCGTGATCTTCGTGGGGCTCTTGGTCGTGGTTATACTTGCGGTCATGCTGAGCGCATGGTGTTGTAAAGGTAAGCCGATATCGAAAACCATGTCTTTGGGTGTTAGGCTCAACGTTTGCTCCTGTAACAGGGGCGTTCAGCAATCCTCTGTGTTGTCCATGCTACCTCTGTGCATGCTGCGGTGGCCTCGGTACGAATCACTCGAATATTCTCTGGATTGAAACTCATTGCTTTCTTTGTGGCAGCGTGTCTTGAATGCATCGGGTGCGGGCTATGCGCTGAAGGGGTTGACCAGATGTAGTCTGACTGGTCAATATGCTCGACGAGTCTCAAGGATTCTCGTCCTTGTCTTTATTCACGATTATCTCTATGGACGCGTTCGTGATTTTTGGACATGTATATTACTTTTTGGACAGTCATCCTCATGAGCCATGTAATTGACCTTGTATATCCCATAGTTCGTCAAAGAATACAAACCTTTTACAGATACCTGGTGATGATCTGGCATACGTGAAAGCCATACCAGGCATTCCAACGAGCGGCTGTAAGTAACATCGTGATAGGAGGATGACACTGGAGCGCGACCGGCCCGAATATAAGCAGGAGGGAACTTGGATCTTGCATTGGCGAACTTGAATTCGCCCGGATGTGTTGTACTTATTCGTACCACAACCGAGTTTCTCGCATAAACGCATGACGGCCGATTCCGTGAGAAGGGTTTCCAGCCTCGGTAAGCACTTGGATACGAGGAAGTGTTGTCTCGAAGGGAATGGCTGTCCGCAGCTGTTCCGTTAGCGGGGACTCCCTCAAGACTCCTGCCAGCCAAAATTGAAATGATCAAAGATGCTGGCCTATGCTGGCAGGTTTACCTTGATAATCCCGCCCGCATAAGTGCAAAAATGGATACTAGATACCCGACGGCGGGCCAGAGGGTTTAGATAGGTTGGAAGCTGATCACAGTGGTAAGGTGTTCATGTGCCCGTCGCATATATTGTGTATGTGACATGTATGTAGTACGACCCCGGGGCCACAAGCTGGAACTCTCTCTCTTTCTCTTCATCTCAGATCCTCGCAATATTACGAATATATCATGGTCACCATAGGTTTATTTTTGGTGCTCGAAATGTTGCAGGGTCCATGAACCAAGCTTCAAGGCCTGCCCACCGTCAAAACAGCACTTGACTACTTATCTTTGCACACAGAGAGAGTCAGAAATCCAGTGACCCCAGAATGATCCCGAGATTGCCAATAATTGCCGCTGTAATATGATGCAACTCTAATGCCTTATTGAAACCGAATGGGTCTAAGTGCGCCACTTGTTTTGCTTGGGCTGGGAGGGCCAAGGGAGGGCCTCATCCAGCGACCATCTTGCAATTATCCAGTTCTTGGATATCATATTGGCAGTACTTCTATAACGCTAGACTACAGTCACTAAAATCATAGGATTGATTATTCATGAAACCGTCGGGGAGAGTTTGAATGGTATAAATAATACAGGTTCTCTTCAGCTGGTCTCCTTCATTCACTCACTCAATCACCCACCTACATATTCCAACAATGAGAATTTCTGCCTCCTTCTGAATCGCCCTCCTTGTCATTGTTCGCGTATTCTCTCTGCCCCAGGGGAATCTTATGAGGTGTTGTTGTGAATATCTAACAATATTGACGAAACACTGATTGTCTGAGAACCTGGTGAATCCGGTTCGAACCTGGACCTGACTCACCAATTCGTCAGGGGCGACCAAGGCGAACCGTTCATTTCAAGTTCATCTTATCAGATAAGATAGCATGATTATGTTCATCCAATTCGGTTATCGATCACAATTTTTCATCTTTCATAGCTTGAATTGCAACAACCATGGCTCCTCTCACACATCCTGCGATCCAAGGTAAT